ATTAAAATATTTTTAAAATTGTAAAAAATTATTTTTGGCCTGGCCAAGCAATACAATATTGGTATAAAGCTTTGGCAATTACATCAGTTGTCATCTCCCATGTTTGCCAACAGTAGAATAGGACTTTGCTCAGAGTATGGGCTGTTGCAGGCAAAGGTCTGTTAATTATTCCGTTGATAATCGTATCAAGAACTGTGTTGAATGAGTTCTTGCCACAGGATTAACAGCAGCACGTGTTCACATAATAGAGAGTGTTTATTTACCGTTTAGTGTGCCTACAGTATTTTCACTCTGTTTTTTTACTCTAATGTGTATGGTGGTATCTGACAGAGAACATGCCGTTTTAGAATGGATTTGTTTCAGGTATTTGTGTTTTACTACAATTAGAAATTCCCCTTTATGAAAACAGTGCTTTAAACATCACATGTATGCTAAAAAATCTACAAGACATTTCAGAAATTAGCAGCCTAATATGGGAAAAATAAACACTATTTAACTAACAAAAAGGTTTACATACCTAACATAGGATTTTCACAGTGCTCTCTCCATGATGTTGGTCCTTTTCCTGCAGGCAGGCAGCAGAAGCCCTGCAGATACCCCTCGAGCAGGGTCGGGTGCTGCTCTGCTCCAGCGCGTGTGTTTGCCTTCGCTGACCCGGCTGCACCGCGTCGGCTCTGCAGCAACGTCAGCTCGTGCTCTGCTCCCACTCCTGCTGACGTCAAGATGCGATGTCCGTGACCAACCTGCCGGTCACTCGCCTGGCGCCCGAGCTCACCCACAGCCGCTGAGAAACGCAGACGCTGATGCCTAGGCTGCTTCTGGGACTGCTGGTACTGGTGGTATTGGGACTGCTGGGACTGCAACCACTGCTGCTGCTGGTTCTGGTACCACTGCTGCATCTCAGCGTGCGTCTGCAGCCCATCACCGCAGCGTCCGACGCCAAGCTCCCAGACTGCCCACAGAGGAAGGAACGCAGCAGGAGCCCCAGAGGTCGCTGCAGCGATTCTGAGCGCGGACACCACCAATTGCAGCGCAGAGCTAGCTGGGGATTTGTAATGCGAGTGGCGTTTCTAGGTTTATTTTTCGCTTTGGTCTCGTCCTGCGGCTGGATTGGAGATCATGTACGTGTTTTGATGTTGATTTGGGGAGGGAGAGGGGGGGAGCGGCTGTTAAAATCTAATGAGGGGAGAGGATTTGGAGGGATTAATTTGTTAGTTTTGATTTAAGGGGATTTTTTCTCCCCTTATCCCTGCACTGCATTGTCTTAACCAGCTTTGTCTTTGTTATTTTAATTTTAGGTCGGTTAATATTGTAGCCTTTGGGAACGAAAGAGATGGCTTTTCTGAGGACAACCAGCAGGCCTGTCTGATCTGGAGCTATCTCGGGAGGAGTGCTCTCATTTCCCACATCAACAGCAGCTTGTCTGTCAGTCACATTGGAAACCCAATTTTCACCAAGTACCAAGCATGCGTGTTTGGGAATGTCAGGCTGGTGGTGCACGACTTTCCTCTGTGGGTAAGAGATCTGTCTCAATCTTTTTAACTGCACTTAACAGTGTAAGATGTTTTAATCAAATGAAAATATATCCTAATTTTGAATTTGGGATAAATGGGATTTTATTCGTAATTATTGCAAATCATACAAGCATATAAAACATCACGAGGCAAATGCTGCAGAATCTCGAAGGTGCTATAGAGATTTTCTCATTAACAAGCCACTGCCCTGCTTCTCTGTAGAAAGGTGGTATTTTCAACTGTGCTGTTGAGGGAAAACTTTATTGAACATAATCCAGAGGTAAACAAGAATTCCTTTTTTTGTGACACTGCATTGTAAGCACTCTCTCCAAATATTTATCAACAATAAATCAAAACTCTTTGTTGTTTTTTTTTTCCTGTAAAAATGAAAAGGCAGTCAGTTTTCCAGCTTTGGAAAAAGACAGGGTTATAAGATCTGATATCTTGCAAAATACACGATATGGAGTTATTTTACTTCTGTTACAGTGAATAATCACATCTTAACATAAATTCCTTTATTGGAAGGTAAATAAAAAGGATTTTGGCACTGTTCCAGGTTGCCAGAACTATTGTTAGTAACAGAGATAACTTAGTTATGAGTATGAGCGGATCAATGATTGTGTAAGAAATGATACTAATAATTAAATTAAAACATATTTAATGACTACTTAGTAGCCTTAAAAAAATTAAGCTTAGCAGATTTTAGAAATTAAAACAATAATCAGTTTCAGCTCCATAATTCTATCCTGAGGTTGATTTTTGCAGGGAAACTTCTTTTTGGGATCTGGAGGAGTCCTGGCTGTTCCAGAAACACATGATTAGAAGTTTGCAATCTTAAAACTGAACGATCCAGTTTAGCTATCAATCTGATCTCTATTTCTGAAGATTATTTTTTTTTGCAGTGGTGCTTACAGACCCCAGTTCAGATGGGCTGGGGAATCTTGTTTTCAGTCTCTGGAGCTGCATGTGACCTGCACATGCCGAGCGCTGGAGGCATTGGAGTGCAGCAACGGGTACAAGTTCCTGAATATAAATTAAGGCTGTAGGGCTTAAAAGGGTGTTTCAGAGGATTGGAAGCTGGTAAGGGAGGCAGGAAGGAAGGGAGAGCTGGAGAAGGGCAGAAGAAAGGACCTGGACTGGAGATTCTGTTCATGTTTGCAAATGCAATGTTGCAAATGCGTGCGAATGTTTGCATTTGCTCTTCTGCAAAACAAGGTTCTTCAGTTCTGGAGACCTTGTCATTTTTTGCCCTTGAAAAACTTGCTTGTTATTGTCTGCAGCATGATGTTTCTGGGGCATGTGGTTTTTTTCCTTTCTCAGCTAAAGGAGGCGGGAGATTTATTACTGGGAATGATGAGGAACAACTGGCTTTTTTTTGCTTAGTAGCAGACATCTCAGATGGCTCGGCTGGACTCTGCAGGAGGTTATTTCTTCTAAGTGAAGCTGTCTCCTCACTACGGTTAGGCAGAACCGGATTGTTTCCCATAGCCTGGATGCTGGAGATTTGCTATGTCACAGTGGTCCTTGCAGGAATGTTCCTCCGGTGGCCTGGGGAAGTCATAGAATCACAGAATGGTTTGCGTTGGAAGAGACCTTAAAGATCATCGAGTTGCACCCCCTGCCATGGGCAGGGACACCTTCCACTAGACCAGGTTGCCCAAAGCCCCATCCAATGGTATATTACAATATGTGGAAATGGTATGTGACAATTTGAGATGTTGACTGACGTTTCCTCAAGGAGGGTAATTGTTAATACATTACATTATTCACAGAAAGGGTTTTTTGTTGCACATTACTGAAACATAGACGTGGTGATATGGTGGCCTTGCAGTATTTCCATCCCTATCTTTGGAGCATAACTTAAAGGCGGATTTGCATTTTACCTGAGATTTGTATCTTGTCTAGATTGAATCTGTATGATTGAGACAAGCCAGTCCTAGACATAAACTTGGTAGCTGAGTGCACTCATAGCTGTGATTCTGCAAACTCAAGGGTCCCTAACTGCTCCTGTCCTCTACGTGTTTCCCTCCAGCTGTCAGCCTGGAGAAGTAGCGTGGATGGAAAGTTACCAAGTAGAGCTCCCCAGTGCATGGGGGGACCATTTTGTAGAATAGGTTGTGGTATGGGGTGAGTTTGCTCGTGTTTTGATCTGTTGCAGCATGTGTGTTTGTGAGCCCAGGACGCTGCTTTACTCTCTGAGTCTGTGGGAGAGGTCAACAGCCCAGGTGTCTTTGGTTGAACTCTGATGTTCCATCTCTTCCATCCTGTTGCCTCCTTCTCCTCTTCCTCTTGCCTTTTCCTTCTCATCCTCCTATTCCTCTTCCTCCTTACACCCCCTCTTACATCCTCTTCATTTTACTCCTCCATCTCCTCTTGCCTCCCATTGCCTCCTCCTCTTCTTGCCTTCAGTTGCCTCCTCTTGCAGCCTGGTTTTTCCTTCCATCTCACTTGGTCTTGCCCCCTGTTGCCTCCTCCTTCTTTTGTCTCCTGTGTTCTACTCTCTTCTCCTCTCACCTCCTCTTTTCTCCTCCTGTGCCCTTCTCTTACCTCACCTGCCGTCCTGTTCTCTCCTCTTTTGCTTGCCTCCCCTTCTCTCCTCCTTGCCCTTCTCTGTCCTGCCGTATCCTCCTCTTGCCTTTGGTTTTTCCTCCTCCACCTCTTGCCTCCTCTTTTCTCCTCCATCTCTTGCCTCCCCTTGCTTTTCCCTTCTCCTCCTCTGAATCCTTCTGCAGCCTCTTGATCCCACCTCTTGCCTCCTTCTCCTCCTCTTTTCTTCATCTGCCAGCCTTTTCCCTTTTCCTTCTCCTCTTGCTCCTCTGACCTCCACCTAGGCCTTCTTACATTTTCTTCCTCCTGCTCTCTCCCATTGCCTCCTAGTGCATCGTCCTCCTCCTCTTGCCTCCCATGGCATCCTCTTGCCTTATCCTCATTTCCTTCCTCTTGCCTCCTGTTGCCTGCTCCTCCTCCTTTGACACTGCTGTCCTGCTCTCTCCTCCTCTTGACTCCATTGTCTTTTCACACAGCGGCTCCATAAATGTTTTAACTGCTGGTGCAGGTGCTTGTATTATTTGGTATTACTTGGCTTAGAAAATCAAAAGAGTAAATTAATATTTGGCAACATGCAAAACAGCAGCAGCACATCATGAGAGGCTTTATTCCTGTGGCAGATGCAGCTTGCATGATGGAAGTGCTGACGCTGGGGAGGATGTTATCATTGACACAGATGACATGGGATTGTAGATAGCAGAAGAACATACTTTTCAAGCTCGGCGGGCAAAATAGCACTATTTCTAAAGCTGTGTTGATCTGCGTGTGTCAGTTTCTGGGTGTATTGTTGTGGCCCGCTGTGTTCTGCATTATATTTGCAAAGCTGCATGCTCGTATCTCCTACGTGCAAGGGACAGGGACACAAGTGGGCTGACATTCTTGAGATTGCCAATGCATGCTTGAGTTGCACTCTCATAAAGCATGTTCTGCTAGCATGTCCGAGTTTTTCTGATTTTTGGGAGGGGGTAAACCTCGGTATGGAAGCTAGTAACTTACAAGGAGTAATTTTCAACATGAATTTTAAGATTTTATTTGGAAGAAGTTGCTTTATTTAGCACCCTGAGTATATCAGATGTGACAGTCTTTGGAACTGAGTTGCTGTTTTGTTGGCTTGTGTGTAGTCTGCAACTTCAGTGATTTGCACTGAATTTGGTTGTGCTTCTGCATACATACAAGTGAGAAATGCAAAAGAAGTGCAGGGAAAATTTGTAGTATCTGATGGCAAGTGAATCTTCCTCAACTTCAGAAAGAAGCATGACATGGGAGCTATAATTTGTGTTTTGATTAATTTAATTATGATGCTGGAAAAGAAAAGTCAGACTGGAAACTTCATTGAGTGTCCCCTGCCTGCATTACCTCTCTTGGTCTTTTTTTTCTTGATTGGAGCAGTACTGTAAGGAGATGAGTATGTTTTGGTGCTGGGCTGTAGGGGTCTTGCTGTCCTTTTTAATTTTTTATCTCTGTGAGCCACCTTTTGTTTTTCTTTTCAAATTTTCAAAAAATTTTCCCATTCAGCAGTCTCTTTCCATGAGTCATTTCTGGTTTTTCTGTGTGCCTTTTTTTTTTTTTTTTTTTAATTCCACCAGCAGTAGTAGTTCCTTGAACCCAGTGAGGTCTCTTGTCTCCATGGTATTATCCATGGTATAGTCATCTGGGTTTTTCCCTGCAGCAGCATCCTTGTGCTGGCTAGGCTGGCCAGCCCTTAACATGTTTGAAGGTAAGGGAATCTGATCCATTTTTAATTTTTATTTATTACTTTTGGAAATCTAGCCATATTACTGCTTCAGTACAAAACCATAGCTTGCAACTTTTCCTTGTCTCATGTATCATTCTTTCTCATTTTTAACCTTGGCTGTCTGAAGCTGGCAGTGTACAACAAGTGATCCCATCCCAGTAAATTGTTTTCCCGACCGTGTTCTTTATGCTTTTTACAAATATTATTAAATTACTTAGTGAGAGGACAACACAGGACAAAGCTAGCCTTCAATAATTTTGTTTCTGGGTGAGCTCAACCAGTTAAAGCTGTTTTGGAAAGCCTCAAGTGAAAAACCAAAGTGGTGTACCAGGGTTGTGGTCTGAATTCCCTCGATTTCTGAAGAGGATACTTCCTTCTGATGCTGCATGTTGCTTCGCTGAGTAAGTTCAGAGGTCTAGTAAGTTATGAAGAGTACACCAATATTTTTTTTTTCTGCTGTGTACCTGGCTGATTAGAAATTGCAGAGAAAACTTGGAAAAATAGGGAAGACTGAAGTGTGTGGTGTGGAAAGCATTGCTGGGAAGAAGGTTCTGTAAATGGATCCTAGAGAGAGATGAACTTTCCAATATTTCCAGTGCAACCCTTTTGGGTCACAGGGAAATCCCTGGGGAATGGTCCTCGGGGGTGGCCAGGCTCCCTTGTCCCCCCAAAGAGTGTTTGCTGCCGTGCTGCCCCAGATCACAGACTGGGCTATGTGGACATGGGGACGTTTACAAGCAGCTCTTAGGAAGAGTGTGGGCATTTCAAGGGCACAGTGGGTTTCACTGCTATTCCATAAAGGCATCCATAAATTATTTTTAACAAAGCAAGTATTGTCCTCTTGAGGGGTCGTGTGGTTTTGTAGGAAAATCATGTCTTAATTGCCTCTGAAGGCTTTACTTTCAAAGTTAGTACTTGAGAAGTATGGTTTACTAATGGAAAGAATCTATTATGAGACATGTATGATGGAGATATGCAAGGAAAGAATGAAGCTTTTTTCCCTAAGAATTCCTGAGAGGAATAGCGCCAGAAACATAATTACAATGAATAAGATCATATTATAGTAGCCTTAGTTATGCAGCTACTTCTTCCTTTTGTCAACGGCTCTCTTCAGAAATGGACTGCGCCAAGAGCAGGAAGGATGATGAGGAATAGCTCCTACATAAATTTCATAGTTGAAGCCTGGAATTAAGGTTATTCCTGAATCTGAACTGTTGTTCATCATCTGAAGAAATTGTCTCTGCCATTTTTGCATGAAAGCTTCCCAAAAAGTGATAATCAATTTAATTCGCTTAACCTAGCCAAGGCTCCAGATGCTTTGTCCCCGTGATGCCTTGGGTAAATAACCCTTCATTGTCAAGAGATGTTTTGGAGGATTTTCCCAGCACAAGGCAGCTCTGCTACGCTGATACAAAATGAAAATAATTACAACAAGACCTCTTGGACCATGTATTTCTCTTCTGTGTTTTCAAGCGTAACATCCATTGTCAAGAATGGGCTTTTGGGGTGTTAAATCAGAGGCATTGGTTGGTGCATTCTGCATTTTTCTGTTCTTGATGCATCTCTGGCTGGCTCATGCCTCGGGAAAGTGGGGTCCATCCCCACCAGAACTCTATAAACTTTGGTAAAATCCTTCTTGATAGGATGAGCAGAGACACAGAGTGGTGGCGCAGGGCAGTGATGGAAAGCACAGACCTCTCTGCAAACCTGCTGCAACGGGCAGCCACACGGATCTGGGAGGATGTTACAGCCTGCACCATGTCCCCATAGGATTTCTTTCCACTAATAGTTAAACCAAGAGGTGTATTTGCATGCCTGTGTGGCTGTTTTCAGTGAGGTTTTTGCTAGGTGTCCCCACACCTGCAGAGACAGAAATATGGCAAGTTGAGCTGAGTACAAAAAGGGTAGGGGGTCATATGACATCATGGCCATGATTTATTTTTGTGGTTGTTTTCCAAAATACAACTCTTTTCCTTACTAGCATTATTTTCGTTAGAAAATAAATATTCTGTATGTTTTTTTCTCTAGAATATTGACTTTTAAGCGATCCCCATCAACGAGAAGAGCATTAGAGCTGACACTTGGTTGGGGTTAGGGCTCAGAGGGTCTTCCAGGCTGCTGGTTTACCAGACAATACTCTCCTTGGAGAGCCAGGATGAGGGCTGGGGCCAGAGCAGAGTGTGTAGCAGGTACCTGGTGTTCTGTGCTCTGCTGCTGGTGGGACTGGTGTCGGGATGAACATCTAGGTATTTAGGAGCCCTGTGATCTGCTGTGGGTCAGGACTGGGTTTATCCTGAAAATCAGGGCAAGGGTCAGAGTTGGTCCTTTCCTTGGGCATGGCAGTGTTCATATTCACCAAAATCTTCCTAAAATCTTTCTGTTTTGTAACATGAAATGGTGTCGTAATGCATTAGACATTTAGCTCTCTTGTTAAGTGGCGTGAGCTACAAACTATGTACATATTACAACACGTAAAAAAAATACCTATTGCATTCTGCTAAAAGTTTCGATAAATATTTTTTATTATTAATGCTTAAACTCATGTCAGAGTTCTTGTGTTTTTGCGGACCTGTGCCTTCAACCTCCGTGGTGATACTGCTCGTTATCATGGAGCTCATAGACAAGGGCATGTGCAAACCAGGGCTGAGCTTGGAGACAGGCAGCTAGACACTTTCTGTCTGCCAGTGTAGAAACACTATATTATATTATAATATATATTCCATATTATATTTTGTGTTCTGTTGTATTTTTCTCTTAAGTCTTTGTTGTGGTAAATATATACAACCCTACTAAAAATTCAGTTTTGAGATCTTCATCAGCTAAAACATACTAAAGCTGAAAAGCTTGAAAATTCTCACTTTTTGCCTCTGTGATGAGGTTCTGTAAATGCCCTTCTAGCCAGCTGTCTCAAAGCATTATAGCTGGTAGTCTTACTGCTACAGGTGCTAAACAAATACCAAGAGCAGTGCCCTTAAAGCTCTTGTGAACTTGGTGAATCATTGAATAGGTGTTCTTGATGATTTGTTAATTTTCTGTGGTTTTCTTACTAGAGAACAAGAACACCTATTAAATGAATTAAAGGGAATATGTATTATAGTTTAAGTTTATTTATTTGCAAAGATAAGACCTAAATTGGGTATGACGTGCACTGGCAGTCTAGGAGAATACTTGCCAGCTGACACATTTCCGTCAAGTTCATGGCACCTCTTGTACTTAAGAGCATTGCAGCCACTTCACCACGGATTTGAAACAATGACTCTCCTGAAGTTGTCGAAAATATTATATTGTATATTTCTCTGGTTACCATCTGTAATGCTTCTATTTCTGTGACATGTTCTTCAAATATCACATTGACTGTCCCCAGCCCAAATTTTGGGTCCCTTTTGTCACTTCTTCTTTCGGTTGAGCATATGTACAAGGCTATGGCTTTCGCTGGTATTTGTGAGCTACTTTCAGGTAAAGCAGAAATTGTGGAATTATGGTTCTCATGACAAATATACAAGTAATAACTGTATATTACATGTGGTTACAGCACAGTTGTATATATTAACAGGGTACAAAATCATTTTAGAGTGTAAAGCACAGAACAATGACAAATTGAATATGAAGTGAAAAAGTAAATTTTAGTTATGTGATTAAAGTCCTTATCCTGAAGACATTAACACTCATTAAAGCTACATGGAAGCTCTTGTGAAGCAGATAAACATCACACCCAACTGATAAAACTTGTATTTAAAATATCATAGGGGCATGGTATCGTTCTGTGTAACCCTTTCCCTAAAATGCTGTGATAAATGGTTTTGTATGCATTGCTGCAGACCTCTACCACGGGAGCTGCTTGTATTTTGTTAATAAAAGCATTTGAAGGTTAAGTAATTAAACCAGTAAAGTTTCTTCCTGCAAAATATATTCCTAGATAAACCCTATTTTCATTTCTTCCTGAAGAATTCCTGGATTCATAAAAAAGATTTATTGTTTATTATAGTGAACAACTTGTTCTTCAAAAAAGGAAATTACAGAGCATGAATTCTGCTCTTTGTTTCACATCTTCAGATAAGAGATTAAGTTAAGAATACTTTTGTAAGGTTTTGTTTTAGAACTCTTGAATAGTTCACCTTTTCCTTTACAGACAGGAGATTATTGATCGGTGTTTTTTCTGTTTAGGATATATTTGACAGCGACTGGTACACCTCTCGCAGTCTCATCGGAGGAGCTGATATTGTTGTGATTAAATACTCTGTCAATGACAAGACTTCATTTCAAGAACTTAAGGACACTTATGCCCCAATGATAAAAAAAACCTTAAACCACTCTTCAGTTCCAGTAATAATTTCTGCTGTCGGTGCAAGAAAAAACGGTATGTATGCAGCCTCCTGTAGCAACATTTAAAATCACACTTGGAGGTTAGAGATGCTGTAATTTCAGCAGAAGCTGATTATTTTTCCAAGTTGTTAACAGAAACAATCTGTCAGGATGATGCTAATATGTGCATGTATTATGGTTCTGGTGTACTGGCAAGAGCATTACGCTTAATTAACCCTGGTGATGAAAGGTGTCCTGTCCTGCTTTGACCTCTGCAACAGATCTTCTTGTGGAGTCACCGCACATGGGGGGAAATCCAGTGCTTCGGATTAAGCAGCGTACATCTGAGTGTATGAGATGAACCCTGTGGTTATGGGTTCTCTCGGGTCATGTCTCCGGTATAAAATATCTTGTATCAGTCCATCCACTGATGGAATTATCCATCCATCCACTTACCAGTGCAACCATGGGAGAGGGGATGGGAAAATCCTCAGAATTATCTAGGAATAGCTATAGCTATGGGGTAGCTCTGCTGTAGCTATGGTACAGCTGTGCTATGGTATAGCTAGTGTGTTCACACAGTGTCTTGTCCAGGCTGATCAGTTGTTTCTCTGAGAGTGATGCAGATCAATTTTACACTGTGTATTTGCCCAGCACAACGTCGTGGTTGATGTCTAATCAGTATGCAAGTCACACAACTGTTGAAGGACCCAGTGGACTCACAGACTTTATTTTGTATTTCCAAGTCTTTTGCATTGTACTTTTCTTGATATCCATGTGGTCTCTTTAGTCATGGCGCCGGATTTTCATAATTTTAATTTTTCTAATACAAAGAATGGAAAATTTGAGCTTGGGAGTTGGATTTTACTTTGTGAGTTTGTCCAAGACAAGTGTTTCTGAGCATCCCTCCTGCTGTGAGTAAGGGACACAATGGATGTAGATGCAGACATTTATTTTATAATCTATAAGCTATATGAACTGTGTCTTCTCTGGATGTAATGCTCAGTTTTGCCAGGGTCTACTTATGTATCTTTTTGCTCAGCGATTGAGAAAGGACTGTTAAAGAACTCTATAACAGTTAAGTCTTTATTTCCTTCCTTTTAGTAATTCACTGATGATGATCAAATGTGTTTGTGCTCTGATTTATATAGGGGTAATAAATCTGCCATTCTAAAGCCAAGATCTCACTAGGCGACTGTTTGCCTGCCCCAACACCTCTTCTTACACTTTTTATTTAAGCACATGATACCATCCAAGTGACTCCACTACTGGCATTTTTCTTTTCCACTTTTTGTTCCTGTATTCCTCCCTCAATAACGTGTCCGTGGGAGAAGCCAGGCTCTCCCGCTGCAGTTTCACTGTGGGACCTGCCAGAGCAGACCACTGTGCACACACAGAGCCCTTTTGTTTCCAGGATGTATGTGTGAACACAGCAGTTTGTTCACACCAGTTACTAAGATCTTAATCCTCTGTAGTGTCATATGGTGCTCACAATAGGAAAAAAAAAACCAAACCTGTGTTATTCCATGTTTTCCGTAAGTCTGAGCAGAGGAAGGTGATGCAGAGCATTCATGGCACATTTAAAGCACATCCACAGCCGTCAAGTTCTTACTGGCATTAAGCAAAGTTGAGTCAGGGTGATTGCATATAAATTATATTAGGTGAAAACAGATTTTTATCAGTTAATTGTCATAATCTTCAAAATACTTGTTTTGGCATAATTTTTTTTTAATGTAAAATATTTGTAATTAAATCCCATTTTGCAGTACCTACATGCCTGCAGCATCTGTGACTACAGTGGAAATTTTCTCCTTCCATTACTGTGCATGTTTCTTGCACAGACAGCCCACAATAATTAAATTTAAGGGTGACATTAATGAATGGTAACACCTGCAGTCTAGTACGACACCCGTGTGTATAAGGATACCAAGGCCTTAAGCCACATCTGACTTCTGGAAGTCCTGCTTAACTTTTCCGCTTAGAAAATTAAAATGTAAAATAATGCTAGTGTAATGTACACTGGACTTTGTATAGCAGCTAATATTTTGAACTCATTGCTAAGAAGTTCATTTTTTTGCAGTAATTATAGACCTCGTACCATAAAGCGACTCTTTCCGTTTCTCTTTTTGTTCTATTCTAAATAACACATCTTTACAGTTATTTAGGAAGGTAAGTATTGTGGATTGTTTGACAGAAAAGGCTTTTTTTTTGCTTGATTTTTCACCCCAGGAGTGCCTTGCACCTGCCCCTTGTGCACATTGGACAGGAGGAGCTGTGTCACTACCTCCGAGGGAGTCCAGCTGGCCAAGGACCTCAGAGCCACGTACCTGGAACTGCACACTCTTAATGACTTCTACATACAGAAGTACTTTGGAGGAGTGGTGAGTGAGACATCCCTGGGTTGAGAGATGCCCTGAGTGTGTAACCTCCACAGGGTCCCTCCCAAGCTGAATTATTCCATAATATTCTGATATTTTTAATTTTAAGTGCTCAAACTCTCATAGCTGTTCTTCTTACAAAGTGAGAATGGTAAGACTGTTGAATTGACAGATTTTTTTAGCAAATTCTTGTGATCGCTCAGTTCACAGTCTTGATGCAGTTTGCAATCACTGAACGAGGCAGAAGCTGAGAAACTTGTTAAAATGTCCCACTTCTAATAACCTTGTTCTTTTCCCACTTTGCTGAAGGCAGGGAAGCCCACTGAGCAGTTTCGAAATGCAGCCTTTCAGATTTATTTGTCTTCTCTGCAAAATTATTTCACACTGATATTTCATTTTCAGTTTTATGAGGTGTTTTAAACTCAGCCTTTTTTTGAACATTTTGGTTACTTTCCCAGTGACATTTAGGCTTCAACAAAAAACAAAAAAAAAGTCATTCTTTTGGCACAGTAATTTCACATGGTCTGTGCAGTTGTTGTCCCTGGTGTGTGGGTGCAGTTGCACAATTTTTATTATCTCACTTCATTCCCAGTTAAAAATGAGGAGTCCACTCAACATCAGGTCTAGCCAGAGTATTTTTTCTAGTTTTTAGAGAGCACAATATGTGCTACAGTAATACCTTGGGCAATAAAAGCACTGAAGACATGCGTTAACTCAAACTGAACCACACTTTTTGCCCCTTTGTTCCTATAAAATGGATACTTTCCCCACAGGTACATTTTTATTGCAGTAGGACATGGTACCATGGTGTGGTGGTGGTGTTTAGCTGCAAGATGAAAAGCTCATGTATGGTTTTGTTATTTCCATTGCTTGCACCTGATGGTTATCCATCAAGTTTTAATCTTTTCTGTAATTCTGTAATTAGCACCTGCAGAAGTTGGTAAATTGAATATCTTTGTGCCTGTCATTTCTGGGAAGATTAAATACGAGAAAATTAACCACCATTATTTGAATAAATAGCCTTTTAAATTGTGGTCATTCCAGTTGCATTTGATACCTTCTGCTGGTAAAGGTGTGTTGGGACTCTGCGGTTTTTTAAAAATACTTTTTGTTTTAGCTGGAATATTTTATGATCCAACGTTTGAATCAGAAGTCATCTGAAAAAATGAAGAAAAGGAGAAAGACGCAGAAGTGCCACCGAGTTCAACCACCTCAGCTCGAACAGCCAGGTGCTCACTGATGTCTCAAGTGCCATTTGTTATGTGTGTCGTGTTCCAGCGCAATTAACATTTTGTAGTCATTACCATGAACTCTGGTAGTGATCATTGGCTCTTCTGGTTGTATTGCTCTAGTTGCATCATCTTTTAGTGATGGTTTAATTAATTTGGGGAGAATTGTGTAGCAATGTGTAACATTGCAATGAAATTCTAATTTATTTTTGGCAATAGTGGTTTTCTGGTGTATTTGATGAAACAATGCAAAGGTAAATTAATAAAACCTTTGTATAAAAGCTTTACAGACAAATTATAAAAGAAAGTCATTACATCGTGCTTTATTATTCTGTAATATCATCAAGTAATATTTTTATTTGCTGCAAATGTAACAAGGGAGAGGTGTATGCCCCTGAACATGATTTCTGAGCATCTGATGCACTTGTTCAGTGAAAGAATTACTGACAAGTACTTGCCTCTATAGTTGTCTCTTCTCACACGTACTAGAAATTTGCTCAGATCTTTTAGGTTTGGGATTCACAGGCAAGGTTTCTTTCAAACATTAAGTGACTAAAGAGGTTTCATAAAGGGGTGGACACTTTCTACTAAACTATTTATTGTATTTCTTATTTTATTACGATAAGTATTTAATTTTTTACAGTATTTTACTGAACATATTGAAACAGCAGATAAGAAAATTTCTTGTTGAATACTTTCTTCAAAAATTGTCCTTCATTTGGTCAGGTGTCTGAGGATAGAGTTGTCCCACGTTTAATACTTGCTTCAGTTCTACAGCCTAACTTGTTATCTTTCGCAGAAAAAATGCCAATCTTAAAGGGCGAAGCCTCTCACTACGACACCGACCTGCACAACCTGCTGTGCTGCTGCCAGTGCGCGGATGTGGCATTTTACGCCGAGGACCTCAGCACGGTGGTGGAGGCTCACAAGGTCATCCTGTGTGCCGTGAGCCACCTCTTCATGTTGCTGTTCAAGGTGAAGAGCCCTGCCGACATCCGCGATGCCTCCATCCTGTGCACGGCACAGAGCCTCTTCACCGTGGAGATGGAGGATGCCGTCCTCCCACTGCCTCATGGCATCCCCCGCTGTGTCCCACCTGTGAGGGTGTTGGTGAAGGACTCTGTCTTCTGCTCTTGTCTGCTGGACATCCTCCACTTCATCTACTCAGGTAACGGTTGGAATGGTTCTGCTACTTATTTCTCTTACATCTGGTATCTCAGGAGGGAGTACATGCTTGACCCTAAAGAACATACTTTTGCTGTTGGTAGGCCATGTTCTGCCATGTTGCTACATCTGTTTTATGTCTTGTGATTGTGATGAAAGAGAAGCCCTTCACCTAGATTTTATAAAAATTAAATCAGTTGTCATTCCAGACCTAATGAACATAAATTCATTATGTATGGGGATAGATTTAGATTAGATATTAGGAAGAAATTTTTCATTGTGAGGGTGGTGAGGCAGTGGCCCAGGTTGCCCAGAGAAGCTGTGGATGCCCCATCCCTGGAGGTGTTCAAGGCCAGGCTGGATGAGGCTTTGAGCAACTTGGGCTAGTGGAACATGACCCTGCCCATGGCAAGGGGTGGAATTGGATCATCTTTAGGGTCCCTTCAAACCCAAACCATTATATGATTCTATGATTCTATGAAATTAAGTGCAATATTTTACTGAACAAAGCCTGTAAGCTAACATCAATAATATTGAAAAAGCTTTGCCAAAAAAAAATCTGGAGTTTGAGACAGATTCAGATCTCAGGCTTTTAAAATATTTTAAATTGTTGCATGTGCTAAACACATTGACAAGAACACAGGGCTACTTAGGAAAACTCAAGTGCTTTCTCTTCTGGATGTGGTGCTACTGAAGAGAAAACTCCGATAACTGATTGGAGTGCAGGGGGCTCTGATAGGTTACGCGTCTTTTGCTACCAATTCAGTATAGGTAGTGACCTCACCTACCTAATCGCAGCTGTCTAGTAAAATGGCACTGATATTTTCCTACCACTTAAAACATTGCTTAGGAATCCTCAGGTGAAAGCGAACTATCTTTTTACATGATACCTGTTTATTCTTTCTAAAATATTTTGCAAGCTGTCAGTCCATAAGAATATGTATTTTATGTTATTTGATAGAATTAGGAGGCTTTTTAGTAATGTATTCTGATTTTAACTGTATTAAAAAAACCCCTCAGAGTAATTATATTGTTAGAGCTGCATCCATAAAGAAACTCTATTAATTTCTGTAGATTGATACCTGCCTGACACGTGAGGAGGATTTCTGCCTTAATGGCTGAGGCACAAACACTGGCTTGTGCAGACACAAGGGAGACTCTGTCAGCTTTCAGTTAGAGTTTGTACATCCCTTTCAGTTCTTTCCAAACCTATATTGAACATAAAGAATAGATGCAGAATTTTTTCAGGATGACCAGACTGGCGGCTTGTGTAGTGGGACACTGAAGTTCTGCCGGATCCAGAAGCCTCATAAGGCAGGTGTAGGAGCAGAGCGAGGCGGCAGGGTTCCTCTGAGAAGGAGGGAAGAGCTAAAGACCAGGAAAAGCACGGACATCCTACCTGACCCTCCAATCAGAATGGTAGGCACTCGTCTCAGAGCTAAGGCTGCAGCTCTGGCTAAGGGGTCTGCACCATCTTCCCCTGCTATGGCCGATGCCTCCATGCAGTCAGAGCTTCAGATGGCAGAGGCAACCGTACAGACCTTGGTTTGTGGGAGATGCCTAAACTACTCTCCTGGGGTGGGGATGGGAGACAAACCAGCCTGCAATAGATGTGCCCAGGTGGACCACCTCCTAGAACAGGTGGACAAATTGCAGGAGGAAGTGGCAAGATTGGAAGGGATCTAAGAGAACGGGGAGAATGGAAACAGGTCCCAGCCCCGGCGGGCAGGCGAATCCCCTCCCAACCTTCCTCACCCTCCCAATTGCCTTTATGCAACAGATATGGGGCACTGGAACTAGAGGGCCAGGAAAATAAGGAGGAAGAGGAAGGTCAATCCAGGGGGTCGCCTCAGCTGAGACAGTCGGCCCCACACATTGCGACTGCCTCAGTTAAGAAAACAAGGAGGGTAATTGTCATAGGTGATTCCCTCTTGAGGGTAACAGAGGGCCCAACATGTTGACCAGACCCTTTACACTGGGAAGTCTGCTGCCTCCCTGGGGCCAAGGTTAGACATGTCACCAGGAAGCTCCCTGGTCTGATACGGCCTCTGGTCACCACCCACTGTTGGTCATGCAGGTTGGAAGTGATGAGGTTGCGGAGAGAAGTACGAAAGCAATTAAAAGGGACTTCAGGGCACTGGGGCGATTGATTAGAGGATCAGGAGCACAGGTAGTGTTCTCCTCAATCCCCACA